CTTCCACTCACCTCACAGTCTAGTCCTGTCTCCAAAATAAGTCCCAAATCTCACCACTTCTCACTCTTCAAAGAGCCGCCATTATCTCTTTCCTAGTGATTAAACAGCTTCGTAACTGGCTTCCCTTCTACCTTGCTTTCCCATAGTCTGTTCGCAAGACAGCAACAGTGGTCTTTTAAAACCAGCACTTTATCATTGCCCTTTGGGAAATCCTCCACAATGATCCAGTCTTACTTCAAAAAAAAATATTTCTGACTTCTTACCCTGCCCTACTTACAGGACATGCACATTTCTGCTCTCACATCACACTTCTTCTCTCACTGCACTCCGCCATACTTGGCCAAGTTTGTTCCCACTTCTTTTGCACTTGCTCTTCTTCAGATCTCAGAAGGAGCGTGCTCCTTGTCTCTCAGGCCAGCTAGCTTCACGCATGTGCCACATGCACCTTTTGCTCAGAAGAGATCTGTATCTGTTGTTACCATCTTGAAATTCCTTTATATATATATAAAAAGATGGGGTTTCACCATGATGGCTGGGCTGGTCTTGAACTCCTGACCTCAGGTGATCCACCCACCTCAGCCTCCTAAAGTGCTAGGATTACAGGCATGAGCCACCGTGCCCGGCTGAAATTCTTAATAGTCCTTGAACATGGAGTCTGCGTTTTTATTTTGCACTGGCCCTGAAAATTGTATAGCTGGTTCTGCTTTCAGGGATTGTATTAGAAGTCTCCTCCTCAGGCCAAGCACAATGGCTCATGCCTATAATCCCAGCACTTTGGGAGGCTGAGGCGGGTGGATCACCAGGTCAGGAGTTTGAGACCAGCCTGGCCAACATAGTAAAACCCCATCTCTACTAAAAATACAAAAAAATAGTTGGATGTGGTGATAGACGCCAGTAATTCCAGCTACTTGGGAGGCTGAGACAGGAGAATTGCTTGAACCTGGGAGATGGAGGTTGCAGTGAGCCAAGATGGAGCCACTGCACTCCAGCCCAGTCGACAGTTCGAGACTCCGTTTCCCAGAAAAAAAAAAACAACAAAAAAAACTCCTCCTCAAAGAGGCCTTCCTTGGCCACCTATCCTCAAGTAGCCCCTTCCCTTCTAAGTTACTCACTATCCTATTACTCTCATTTAATTTTCTTTATAACAGTTGTCATGCTGTCATATGTTCTGGCTTCTGTATTTATTTGTGTATTGTCCAGTTTCTCCTTTTGGAATGCAGCGTGAGCACCTACAATGCAGAGGCCGCTGTATCCCCAGTGTGGAACGTAATGAGTGCCCGATACATTTGCTGAATAAACTATTCTAAGGGCTGAACTTGCTGGAAGCAAGAGAAGCACTCTGCTAGGTGTATAATAGAAATTTTAGACTGTACCTGATATTTATATATACTCTCACCAATAATTAAAATTGTGCAGTGCTGCTCTAAACAGATAAATTCTGGCTTCATGATGATGGTTAAGTGGAATATAATTTTCTCATTTTGTATTCAAATGTGATCTTTTTCATGAAAGATTTTGAAGTCTAGATTCGGTCCCTACTTTTGCTACTCTGTTATATGAAACTAAAACAATAATTTTAGTTTAGTCTGAATTTTTTAATTTATTTTTATTTTTTAGACAGAGTCTCGCTCTGTTGCCTAGGTTGGAGCGCAGATGCGATTTCAGCTCACTGAAACCTCTGCCTCCTGGGTTCAAGCAATCCTCCAGCCTCAGCCTCCCGAGTAGCAGGGAGTACAGGCACCTGCCACCAAACCCAGCTAATTTTTGTATTTTTAGTAGAAATGGGGTTTCACCATGTTGACCAGGCTGGTCTCAAACTCCTGACCCAAGTGATCCATCTGCTGTGGCCTCCCAAAATGCTGGGATTACAGGCCTGAGCCACTGTGCCTGGTCTAGTTAATTTTTTAAAAAGGTTATTGGTCTACCTTCAATGACATTGAAGGCTCAATAAATATTTTCATTTGTGATAACTAATTTGACCTGCTCAGCAATCTCTAAGAGAGATAAAGTAGCTGTAATTCTTCATTTTACAGGTCGTGTCAAATCATTTCATACATTCCAGTTATGTAGAAGCTTGGTAAGAATATGTGAATAATAATCACAGAACTTCAGAGCTGGGAGTAACAGTTGGAAATATTTCTTCCAATAATCTCTTTTGTAATGAGAGGACAATGAGGTCCAAGTGGACAGGACCATGAGACAAGGAAGCAAGGAAGTTGATGGAAATTGACCTCTGAAGTCAGTGATCTTTGTCATGAGTGGTATACAGTGATCTTCATCACTGACTTAAGGACACCGTTGGTCCTTTTGAGCAAGTGAGTTATCCAACCTTTGCCTGCAAAGGGGGAAATTTTTAAATAAGTATTTACACTCCACTTCTAAAATTTTGCTTGATTGTGAATCATCTTCTTTAAGTTTATTAAATGAATGACTGAATAAATGAACATAAGGAAATAAGGAAGGGAAAAAGAAGGATGAGAGGGAGGCAGGGATACAGGAAGACAGGGAGGGAAGGAGGGAGGGAGGGAGGGAGGGATGGGAGGGAAGGGAAGGGAAGGATAAGTTTGATGACATTAGCTGCTATTATACTCTATGTGGATAATTTATTTAGATCTATATGCTTTATCTTTTGTTTTACTTCTCTTATGCATATTCTCCTCAACTTTTTTTTCAGTGGGTCAGTGGAGGCCTGTGTCTTGCAACTGTGGAAAGGCTGCTACCAGGCTGACACCCCTGGCCTCTCACCCTCCCACTTCTTCCCCTGCAAAGCAGGGTGTTATTTGATTCACATTCTTAGTCTGTGGATCTCAGCTGAGGAGAACTCCCTCTTTCCATCTCTTTTGGACCTTACTGGATTTTCCCTCTTTCCATCTCTTTTGGACCTTACTGGTGCAAGACAGCAAATCCTAGCTGGTATCTACAGGACACATGCACTCCTGTATTACATGGCTGCAGGGCCACTGTCATTGTATCCTGGAGTTGGTTCTACATAAGACACAGCATGAGGGGTTTACAGGCTTCCTAGTCTGCTCCTGGCCAAATGTCCCAGTTAGAAACCCAGAGATTGTCTGCCTTTGCCAGTGGCAGGATGGGCAAGTCTAACTCAAGGGTGATATATTAGCAAGACCATTATGGCCAGGCATCTAAGATGCTCTGTCCACATCTGAACTTATCAACAATAAACCAGACATTTTCAACTTCACCTGATTCTTCTATTTTTCAGTTGATGCCACATGCATTCTCTTGCCATCCTTCTTAATTAAGATGGCTTTGCTTCTAGATCTCCTTAATTGCCAAGCAGCTATCTATAATATTTTATAATCCACTTAAATCTTGAGCATAATGATGTCATAATTATGAAAGTGACCGGATTCACATGAAGTATTACTTAATCTTAAGAAAAAATGGCAGCTGTGAAAACAGATGAAGTAATTAGAGGAAGAGCCTTTTGGAAGCTTCAAGATATTTTCAAAGTAATTAGTACTAGTTAGCAATAAAGTTCTGTTCTCAGAAATTGCACTTAAAGAAGGAACACGGATTAAAGAAAAAAGTCGACTACTAGGAAATAAGCCACTAGACTTTTAAAAACTGGTTCTATTTTCAACAAAATTTGGGTCTCTTGAAAAAGAACACACAGATGCCATCCATGACTTCAAAGGGGCCCAAACTTGGACAGTAGTGAAATAATGAGCAAGGGTGCACAGAGTCAGGGTAGAGCTGAACAAATTCCTATGACCAACATTTCCGGAATGATAGGACACTTCTGGTTTTTCATTTTGTTTTGTTTTGTTTTGTTTTTGAGATGGAATTTCACTCTTGTCCAGGCCGGAGTGCAATGCCGCAATCTCGGCTCACCGCAAACTCCGCCTCCCGGGTTCAAGCAATTCTCCTGCGTCAGCCTCCCAAGAAGCTGAGATAACAGGCACGAACCACCATGCCCAGCTAATTTTTTGTATTTTTAGTAGAGACAGGGTTTTATCATGTTGGTCAAGCTGGTCTCAAACTCCTGACCTCATGATTCACCCACCTTGGCCTCCCAAAATGCTAGGATTACAAGCGTCAATCACTGCGCCCAGCAACACATCTGTTTATAAGTGCGGATTGTAGTTACTCATAAGCAACATTAGGCTGTTTAAAATAATAGTTCGAGTTTTGCTATGAGCTGATCTGTTTTCTAACAGAGCTAAGAGGTTTCCAACTAAAACAGAATTAGTGGGTAATCAAGGCAGCTGACATGGGGTGTGGCTGGGCCTTGAATGTGTGTCACTCTCTGTGCCCAAGCAGAGCAAAGATAAACTCCAGACTGCATGTTGCTCAGAGACCAGAAACAACTCCGAAGGGCCCCTAAAAGGCAGGTGGACCAGTTCAGAATTATCATGGTCTGACCTGCTTAGACAAGTACTGAGCACATAATAAGGATTGACCGGCTAGTCTCTCAAAACTTGCAAACAGGGCGCAGGGTGATCTTGAGATTTCAGTAGCCAGAGAGACCCATCATGTAGATTCTAGAGCTGGCTGTTGTGACTAACTGCTAAGTTGTTTTTAAATGAATCCTTAAGTGCTACATTTTTCAGTTCAGCTAATCAAGTAGCAAATTGCAATAGGCCTAAAATACTCATCTATTGCATTATGCATATGCTAGGCTTTCTCACGCTATCTGGTTATATCACTTCATATATTAATAGTCCAAAAATGCCAAACAAACAAACAAAACAAAAATGCCAAATGACTGTAAATACACTTTTCAAACTGTTTTATCTAAGAGTTTACTCACTTTCACATTGCAGCTTATAGTATTTCCAATCTAAGAGATTTATTTTGCCTGCATAGGAATCTATGTGTTTTAAATTGAACATTTTAAAAATATTTTTAAGGTTTTGATGAGTCCTATCAAAACACATTTGTATAAAGGAAGGTAGCCAAAGGTCACTGTTCCCAATTGTGTACACAGCCTGCCCTCTAGTGTTTTCTTCTAAACTGTACCAAATTTTAAATCATAGTCATAATCTCAAAATGTTGGGTTAATAGGATTAAACACTGAGTCATCAAATTGACAGGACAGAGCTAAATCCCTGACACAGATGAAAGTTAAAGCAGAGAAAAACAAAGGTCCTTCCAGGAACTGGTGGCAACTTCACTGGGGAGATATTGCAAAGTTCGTGGTAACTAGACTGTATTAAAAAGTTTTGTTTTGTAAACTGGATATTAATAGAAGGAGAAGAGTTAGTTGAAGTTAGTTGAAATGATGTATGTAAAATGTGATAACTATATAATTACTAGTACAGTTGCTAGTTTATGATTTTATTAAAAAGGCATTCCAAATGTTGATCAAATAATGGAGTTTTCTGTGGTGGTTTTCTTTTTAAATAGTAGATATGCATAAAGCAGTTAACTATTCCCTTTGTGGGAGTTAAAATAATCAAGCTTATTTTATAGTTTTAACTTTATTAAAGCATATGGCTATTCTAATTTATTTAACTTTCCTTAGTAAGGTTTTAACTTTTGTATTTGGAATATTTATTACTAATGTATATCAAATTAAACTCAAAGGGAAATTCCTTAAATGAGAAGAAAAAATTTTAACTGTGCACTATTCATGTAGCATAATGGGTTTTATAAAGAGTATGAGAAAAATACGTGTGGTTGGTTTTGCTTTCTTAAAAAGAAAATAGCAAACCACCTAGGGAAAAACTCACTTGAGAACACAGAATTCTGGAGGGAAAAAAAAAATCCCTCTAACAGATTCTAATCAATTCTGTATTTAGAGATGTTTGCTGTTGACAAGGAAATAAAATGAAGCTTGGACTCTGAGAGGACGTGGTCTATCCTGCCCATTGCGTTGAGTTTCAAGTACTTCATATGGAGAACTTACTTAACTGTCATGAAGAATTTAAACCAAATAGGGACTTGATTTTTTTTGTTTTTTTAACTTACATTTCAAGCTTCCTTATGTCTCAGGCACATTAGCATAAGTTGTCTAAAGTTATAAAGAAAAATTGAAGGAAAAATGCTTTGGAACCCCATGTGTTTTCAATTGATGCCAACAGAAACTAACCTAATGGAAGGCATTTGATGCGGGTTTATTTTTCCTCTGCAGTAACAGCGGGATCATGAAGCCGCCATTCTTGGTGTTTACCATGTATCTGCTGTGGTTGAAAGATTGTCACTGTGCACCTACTTGGAAGGACAAAGCTGCGATCAGTGAAAACCTGAAGAGTATGTTTGGTTTCTTATCCATGCTGTGTCCTGTTTGCATGTTGGCTGTCCTGATGGCATTTATAGTGAGTTGCAGTTGAGAGAGAACCATATTCACTGTCTGCATGGTGAAACATTCTCTAGGCACTTAGACCAAGTCATCATGACTCCAAACATCTGGATAAAAATAGAAAATTCCAATCACATCTCTGCAAACATTCACATTTCCAGATGTTTGTATCATGTAGATAAAACTTGCCAATTTTTTCACGGCATTTTTTTTTTTTTTTGTATCATCCGGATGGTTGGTGTCATCTCAGCACAGCTCTAATGAACAGTAAAATACTTTCCTAGCATTTGAAAAATGTAAACCATTAGAGTAATCTGTGTAATTATTCTTAAACTAGTGAAAGAATGGGTTATAATTACATTGAATCTGGTTGTTCTGTGGCCATTAACTTGCAACCCTTGCTTGGTGATAAATGCTTTGGGTAGTTAATATTTAGAAGAATCAATTAGCTAAAATGTAGCTGATTTGGTGTCTGTAATTAAATTCAGAGTCAAGAATAAGCTCCTTAGGAGGCCACGTCAGCTATTTTGAACAGGGAATGCCAGTTGATTTTAAACCTACTAAGGGCTTATTAAAAGTATAAGACACGTCCATTAGGTTATAAAGGAAGCTTGTATTACCTGGGATATTTTCTAGATTTCATGCCTCTTTGGAATGTAATTGAAGCTGAAAGAAAGAGAAATTGTTGATTGTGTCTGAGGTCCCCAGCTGGGCACTTAATATAAATTGTTTGTGAAGAAAATGCAAAATTTCCTCTAATATAAACACACTTGAGTCTTAAATGAAAGAAAAAAATGGATAAATGAAAACAGGGCCTGAGCAAAATGACAAGAGGAGGTTCAGTGACCTCTGATTTGTTTAGGGGCTCACAAGTGAGGAACAGAAGGTATGTTCCGTGTGGCAGCTGGGTCCATGTGGCAGCTGCCAGCTAATTCATTATCATCTGCTTTCAGAGTATGAGCCTATAAAAGAACAATTAAGCCTCTCTTTAGGAAACATGAAAGATTGGTGAACCTGGTGTTCTGTAACCTGATCAGATCTCAAAGAAAAAATTGCCACGTGTCTTTTAGGTTTTTCTGAAGTGGGGGAGATAGAGGCAGATGAAGAGGTGAAGAAGGCTTTGATTGGTATTAAGCAGATGAAAATCATGATGGAAAGAAAAGAGAAGGAACACAGAAATCTAATGAGCACCCTAAAGAAATGCAGAGAAGAAAAGCAGGTACGGTCATTGAAAATAATGTCTGTTCTTACACAGATCTGGACCAGAAATATTGCATTTGTAAGTGCCATTGATGAATCACTTATTTTCTCTAATAATAAATTTTATTGGTAGTTGCTTTAATTAGAGGACAAGTTTGAGGGAAAATTCAGGTTTCCTTGAAGAGCATATTTCCTGTAAGATAGGCTTCTGCAGGACTCCAAACCCTGGAATCTGAGGGATTCATCTCTGTGTAAGTGCTGCTTTCTCAAAAATAAATAATTCTTGGTCTCTTCTGGTTAAGATATTGAGTCAAAAGAATCTGGAGAATTTTTTTAATTAGATCAGTGGTCTCCAGAGGTTTTTTTTTTTTTTTTTTTTTTTTTTGAGACAAAGTCTTCGTCTGTCACCCAGGCTGGAGTTGATCCCAGCTCACTGCAACCTCTGCCTCCTGGGTTCTGGCAATTCTCCTGTCTCAGCCTCCCCAGCAGCTGGAATTACAGGTGCCCACCACCATGCCTGGCTAATTTTTTTTTTTTTAGTAGGGGTTTCACCATGTTGGCCAGGCTGGTCCTGAACTCCCGGGCTCAAGCGATCCTCCCACCTCAGCCTCCCAAAGTGCTGGAATTACTACAAGCATGAGCCACCATGCCCAGCCCAAAGTTTTTTGGTCTCTCATTTCTGACTAAAAAATTTATTAGCACTCACTCCTAAATATATACATATTAATTTACTTATAAATTAGATACATGAATTGCTGCCATTAATATCTCAAGGCACAATATGTATTTAAGGTGAGATTCATCATTAGCGAGTGTGGATGTAAGTCCACATTTCAAATAATCTTCTAGATACTTTGAAACTTTTAGCCAACTTGCCAGATCTGATTAGATCACCATAGTTTTCCTTTGTCACATGGCCAATAAAGAGCTCACGATGATGAACTGTCAGCTCTGCCATTTGTTTTTTGTCCACTGAGCTTAAATTATCCATTTGTTTTTAATCTGCCTAGTTTTTTTCCAAGAATCTTGTTAAGCCTCCTGTCCGTTTAGTGAAGGTTAGTTTAGTTAAAACTAGATAATAAAATCCATTAGTCTACCTGAGTTCTTGTACATGGCTTCTGCAGGACTTCACATTCATTACAATTGGCTGCATGTGAACAGAGCAAGGGAGCTAGTCAATGCTTCTGGAATGTAGAGGATTGATCCCTTCTTTCCCAAGGTTCTCACAGAGCTGGGCACATATGATGTCTGACATATTCATCTCAAGAGAGCACCATGTAGCCAGGCGTGGTGGTTCACGCCTGTAATCCCAGCATTTTGGGAGGCCAAGGCGGGTGGATCATCTGAGGTCTCTAGTGCCAGACCAGCCTGACCAACTTGGAGAAACCCTGTCTCTACTAAAAATACAAAAAACTAGCCAGGCCTCGTGGTGCCTGCCTCCAGCTACTCAGGAAGCTGAGGCATGAGAATTGCTTGAACTCAGGAGGCGGAGGTTTCAGTGAGCCAGATCACACCATTGCACTCCAGCCTGGGCAACAAGATCGAAACTCCGTCTCAAAAAAAAAAAAAAGAGTACCATGTATATGCAATAATGCATTAACCTAATTCACCTTTTAAAATTCAAATAGCTGCTGGGCACAGTGGCTCACGCCTTTAATCCCAGCACTTTGGGAGACTGAGGCAGGTGGATCACGAGGTCAGGAGTTCAAGGCCAGTCTGGCCAAGATGGTGAAACCCCGACTTTACTAAAAGTGCAAATATTAGCTGGGGGGAGGGAAGGGGATGGCAGGTGCCTGTAATCCCAGCTACTTGGGAGGGTAAGACAGGAGAATCACTTGAACACTGCGGGGGGACAGAGGTTGCAGTGAGCCAAGACCGGGTAACTGCACTGCAATCTAAAGCAACAGAGTGAGACTTTGTCTCAAAAAAAAGAAAAAGAAAGATTCAAATAGCTTTACTTAATAGCTATAGCTCGAACTATGTATTTTATCAATGGAGAATACATGTTATATTCAAATGTCCTTGGAAGATGTAAAAAATTGTTCATATGCTACAGTATAAAGTTCAGTACATTTCTAAACTATGGACATTGAATAGCTTGCAGTTTAATGACAATAATTAACATCACACTCAGAAACAATGACTTTTTTTAAAAAAGGTTATCTTCAAACATTACCCTTAAATCAAACAGGAAATTAAAATTTAACAAAAATAATTTGGAAAGTCTTTCCAATTTTCATGTTGAGAGTAAATTATTTTTAAATTTATTTTTATTTTTTGAAAAATGTTAAATTTTAAAATACATATAACAAAATTTACCATCATAACCATTTGTAAGTGTACAGTTCAATAGTGTTGAATACATTCACATCGTCATGCAATCCATCTCCAGAATTATTTTCATCTTGCAAAAACTGAAAGTCTATACATATTAAACAATGCCTCATTCACCCTACCCAGCCAGACTTTTAATTAAAAAGGATAAGTGGAAGTTCTAATATTTTCTATCTATTCCTCTATCTATAAAGTTGAGGGCCACTGAATTCCAGATTGCTGCTGGCATCTTTTTACTTATGAGCATCACGGCCTCTGGGAGTCCATTAAGCAACTGGAGCCAGGTAGTGTGACAGGCTGACCCCAAAGCTGCGTGTCAGCTTTGATCTTGCAGCCCCACCTACTGCCCTGAGTCAGTCAGGATTCCAGCAAGGAAAGGAGAATGCCTGACCAGCAGCTGCAAAACCCTTCTCCCTTTTGGCAGCAATCAAAAGATTTTGAGGAAATCCAAAATAGCTCCTCATCAGAAAAATGTGGAAGCCCCTCCAGCTGGGATCTTCCCTGGTGGGCTTGTGAGCTTGGCCATCTGGGAATAGAGACACTAGATAGCACTAATACACTCTTCACAAAACACATTGTCACATGAAATACTTTGAACATCTGGGTAAACCACTACTTTCATTCACATCTAAGAAAACGGGTTTGAGATGTTTGTTAATTAACATGTTACTCCAACACTGTAATGAGTGCACTGAGATAGTCAGCAGATGCGTGTGCATGGGACCCAGTGACTTTCTGCTTTTCTCACTTCCCTGAACCTCCTGGCAGGGAAGATAGGGTATACAGCTATAATAAGAATATTCGAGTTTGGGTGGGTCAAGGAAGCAAATGTTGATTTCACTTCTGGCCCTGAAGAATCCAAGCAACTAGGAGAATTTGTGTTTATTCTTAAAAACTTTATCGTACAAAAATTCATTGAATTATACTCTTAAGTTTGAGGCACTCGATTAGAAAATTGGGGAAAAAAATCTCTTTAACCCTGAGTATCCCTCCATAAAATTACTTTAAGCCTAGAATAAAGGTCAGTTTAGACAATTTATGAATTAGCAAATATGATGTAAGCAACCCTAGTTTCCCAATATTGAGCCCTACCCATTCTAGGGGGTACTGCTTGGTGGTGACCCAGGATCATCACTGACCCCTTCCACCACCCCTCCTTATTAATATTTAGTGGGACCATGTGAAATTTATTAAGTAGGAAATCCTAGAGAAGGTTAGAGTGATTTGACCCCCAAACCAGGTTTTATTTGTTTTTGTTTTTAATGAAATGGAGTCTTGCTGGCCAGGTGCAGTGGTTCACGCCCGTAATCCCAGCACTTTGGGAGGCTGAGGCAAGTGGATCACCTGAGGTCAGGAATTTGAGACCAGCCTGGCCAACATGGTGGAACCCTGTCTCTAATAAAAATACAAAAATTAGCTGGGTGTGATGGCAGGTGCCTGTAATCCCAGCTACTCGGGAGGCTGAGGCAGGAGAATTTCTTGAGCCCGGGAGGCGGAGGTTGCAGTGATCCAAGATTGTGCCACTGCACTCCAGCCTGGGCAACAGATAGAGACTCTATCAAAAAATAAAGACAAAGAAATGGGGTCTTCCTATGTTGCTAGGCTGGTCTTGAACTCCTGAGCTCAAGGGATCCTCCTGCCTCACCTTCCCAAGTAGCTGGGATCCTAGGCATGGGCCACCACTAATGGCTCAACAACAGGTTTATATAGTACTGTTGATAAACTGTCAACTATACGAATAGAGTTACAAGCATGAATCTGCCAGTTGGTACAATGTCTAGCAGGAAATGGAAGGCATCGGTAGGACATTCCTACAGAAATATTTACCAGACAGAGGTCTACTTCTTCCATGGCAATATTTCACTTCCAAAACTTGGGACCCCTGATTTGGTAACTGTTTCTTGTTATGCTTCTGGGCAGTCAGTGGAAGGAAGCCTGAGAGATAGTAGTTATTATAATGAACTAGTTATAATAATAGAGTCCTTGCCTATGATAATAGATGCCTTGCCTATGATAATGGATACGAATTATAATAATAGATACCTTGCTTGTTTAGCTCATTTAATGCAAAGACCTTGAAAAATAGATACTATTATTCTTTTTTTTTTTTAGAAAGAAAGAAAAAGGGGAAGAGAGAATAGGAGTCTTGTTCTATTGCTCAGGCTGGAATGCAGTCTAAAAATAGGTATTAAAAACCTCTTTTATGCCGATAATTGTGCTTAACAGCAGAGACAGGAAGGAATAAGAGAAGAAAATAACAAAGAAACAGCCAACCAATATTTCATTTAAGTCTGTGAAATGCTATGCAAATACTAAAGAGTGATTTACTTCCAATCATGTGGTCACTTTCAAAATATGTGTAATGTGATACTGAGAAAACTGTATGTTCTGTGGACCTGGGGTGAAGAATTCTATAAATATTCACTGAGTTTACTTGTTCCAGGTCTGAGTTCAAATCATAGATGTCCCTGTTAATTTTCTATCTCATTGATCCATCGAATATTAACAATGTGGTGTCAAAGTCTCCCGCTATTATTGTGTGGGAGTCCAAGTCTCTTTATAAGTCGTTAAGAACTTGTCTTATGTATCTGGGTGTTCCTATATTGGGTGCATATATATTTATGATCATTGACTCTTGTTGTTGCATTGATCCTTTTACCATTATGTGATGTCCCTCTTTGTTTCTTTTAGTCTTTGTTACTATTAAAGTCTATTTTGTCAGAAACGAAAGTTACAACTCCTGTTTTTTTCTCTCCATTTGATTGATAAGTCTTTCACCAACCCTTTGTTTTGAGTCTTTGTGTGTCCTTGCTTATGAGATGGATCTGGATACAGCGTACCAATGGGTTTTGACTTTTTATTCAATTTGCCTGTCTGTGTCTTTGAGGCATTTAATTCATTTAAATTTAGGATTAATATTGATATTTGTGAGTTTAATATTGTCATTTAATGCTAGCTGGCATTTTGCCCATTAGTTGATATAGATTCTTCATTATGGAGATACTGTTTACCTTTTGGTAAGTTTTTGGGATGACTGATACTGGTTGTTCCTTTCTGTGTATACTGCTTCTTTCAGAAGCTCTTGTAAAGCAGGCCTGGTGGTGATGAAATCTCTGAGTGCTTGCTTGTTTGCAAAAAATTTCATTTTTCCTTCATTTATGAAGCTTAGTTTGGCTGGATATGAGATTCTGGGTTGAAAATTCTTTTCTTTGAGGATATTGAATATTGACCCCCACTCTCTTCTAGTTTGTAGGGTTTCTGCTAAGAGATCTGCTGTGAGTCTGATAGGCTTCCCTTTATGGGTAACCTGACCTTTCTCTCTAGCTGCCCTTAGAATTTTCTCCTTTATTTCAACCCTGGTGAATCTAACGATTATGTGTCTCGGGGTTGCTCTACTTGAGGAATATCTTTGTGGTGTTCTCTGTATTACCTAGAGTTGAGTATTGTCCTGCCTTACTAGGTTAGGAAAGTTTTCCTGAATAATAACCTGAAGAATATTTTCCAGCTTGGATTCATTCTCTTCATGACATTCAGGTACACCTATGAAATGTAAATTAGGTCTTTTCACATAGTCCCATATTTCTTGGAGACTTTGCTCATTCCCTTTTACTCTTTTTTCTCTAATCTTGTCTTCTTGTTTTATTTCATTAAGTTGGTCTTTGACTTCTGATATCCTTTCTTCTGCTTGATCAATTCGACTGTTGAAACCTGTGCACACTTTGTGGAGTTCTCCTATTGCATTCTTCAGTTCCATTAATTCACTTACATTCCTGTCTAAATTGTCCATTCTCATTAGGATTTCGTCAAACCTTTTTTCAAGGTTCTTAGTTTCTTTACATTGGGCTAGAACATGTTCTTTTAACTCACAGAAGTTTCTTATTATCCACCTTCTGAAGCCTAATTCTGTTAATGGAATGCACTCGTTCTCCATCAGGCCTTGTTCCCTTGTTGATGAGGAACTGTGATCCCCTGTAGAGGGAGAGGCATTCTGATTTTGGGTATTCTCAGCCTTTTTATGCTGGTTTCTTCCCGTCATTGTAAATTTATCCACCTGTCATCTTTGTAATTACTGACTTTCAAATTAGGTCTCTGAGTGGACATCCAACTTGTTGATTCCCAGAGCCAGAATCTGAGCAACCCACTGCGCCAGCCAAAACAGTGGCATTAAGATTCATGCTTTTCTGCCCAGGAATCTCCAATCTGGCTTTCTTCTTGAGTCCCTTTTTCAATCAGCTGAATAGGCGACTCTGACTTCCCGGAGCTCCAAATGTCGACCAAAGGGGGACCCAGTTCTGTTTACTCTGCACCAAGAACCACCATGCCGGAGCGCCAGCAAAACTGCTGCACCGGCCACAAGAGTCACCGGCCACAACAAAACTGCTGCACTGGCAACCCGTGGGGCTCCTCTGCTGGGAATCTCCTTATCCATGAGCAACAAAAATTCATCTGAAAATGTGGCGTCCTTTCGTTCCCTGCAGTTTCACTGGGAGCTACAATCCTGAGCTGCTAGTAATCAGCCATCTTGGATCTCTCTCTGATACTATTATTCTCATTGGCAAATGAGGAGACTAAGGCTTATACATATTAATAACTAATTTGCCCAAGGGTACACAGTCACTGTAGTTTGGAATTGGGAATATTAGGATTTTGGCTTATGGGGACAATGAGCAGAATATGTAAAATTGGGACTGACTGAGAAAATTCCGTAGGTATTGTTACATGCCTTGGAGAAACAACCTTTTTTTTTTTTTTTTTTTAAAGACAGAGTTTCACTCTTATTGCCCAGGCTGGAGTGCCATGGTGAGATCTTGGCTCACTGCAACCTCCGCCTCCTGGGTTCAAGTGATTCTCCTGCTTTAGTCTCCCAGCTAGCTGGGTTTACAGGCACCCACCACCATGATCAGCTAATTTTTGTATTTTTAGTAAAGACAGGGTTTCACCATGTTGGCCAGGCTGGTCTCAAACTCCTGACATCAGATGATCCTGCCGCCTTAGCCTCCCAAAGTGCTGGGATTACAGACGTGAGCCACCATGCCCAGCTGGGAAACAACCATTTTAAGATGTAAGATTCAGCCAGTGCAGTGGCTCATTCCTGTAATACAAGCACTTTGGGAGGTCACAGTGGGCAGATCACTTGAGGCCAGGAGTTCAAGACCAGCCTGGACAACATGGTGAAACCCGTCTCTACTAAAAACGCAAAAATTAGCCATGTGTGGTGGTGTGCATCTGTAATTCTAGCTACTTGGGAGGCTGAGGCAGGAGAATCATTTGAACCTGGGAGATGGAGGTTGCAGTGAGCTGAGATTGCACCACTGCACTCTAGCCTGGGTGACACAGCCAGACTCTGCCTCAAAAAAGAAAAAAAAAAAAAAAGATACAAGATTCCAAAATTGTTCTGCAAAGTCCAAGGACACACACACCCCCCCCCCCCCCACACACACACACTCCTGTCTGAATCAAAATGTGCATTTGGCAAGCTGGGGCCCTGGTAGTTTTCTTATGTGGATCATAGCAAATGCTACCTGGCTTAGCAGCAGAATTTTACAATGAGTCCTAGCCAGGCAGAGAAAATGTAGAAGACTGTCAGTGTCCAGGTGATTCTCTGGGGTTAGTACTCCAGGAAAGGGTCATTTTCATTATCTCTGAGGCTGTCTTCTTATGGACAGGTACACTATACTCACTTCATTCCCCTCCACAATATCTCGTCATGGAGAGAGCTGGGGTTCAGAAGTCCACACTTGCAGGGAAGCCAGGGGTTTAGGCAGGGGCACAAGAAGAAAGGTCTGTTGCATTATTGTGCTGACCCACAAGGCACTCCAGAGGTATGGCTGAGGCTTGCAGGGACAGGTGCCACTACTGCTGGGCTCCTCACCACCTGGAGCAGGACTTGCCAAGTACAGCAAGCACCACAAGGGGGAGCTCTGGGAATACAGACAAGAAGAACAAAGCTGGCTGAAGGATGGCATAGCTGGCTGAAGGATGGCATCTCTGCAATTAGAATGTAACTCAATGGGAACATTTAATTTGACATATAAGAATTGCACTTTCATGCAATGTTTAAGGACGTACAAGTTAAAGGCAGCATAAATAAAAGAAATAAAATGTGCCAGCTTTATAAACTATAAAGCCCACTTTCCCCCTCCCCCAGTGGATGAGAATTGAAGACAGACTCACCAATAAGTAGGTAAATCACCGTTGTTTCCAGATCGGGATAGTGTCTTCATTGTCAGGTCTCCCACATCTAGAGTAACGTCTGTCACATAGCAAACATGCAACAAATACTTATTGAACAAATGAAGGAACCGATGAATAAGATTTACAGTCTTCAATAGGGATCAATTAGTGCTCTTTTCTTAGAAAGCTTTGGGAGAGATCTGTCAGCTGCAAGCCACCTGAAGGAGAAAGAATGAAAATGTAATTTAGAATGTGCACATTTCAAAGGGTGAAATCAACTAAGGTGCACTTAGAATCATGAAAAGAAAATTGGACTTCTGTTTCTACTTTTAATTAGGAGGCCCTGAAACTTCTGAATGAAGTTCAAGAACACCTAGAGGAAGAAGAAAAGCTATGCCAGGTGTCTTTGGCCGATTCCTGGGATGAATGCAAGTCTTGCCTGGAAAATAACTGCATGAGAATTCATACAACCTGTCAACCTAGTTGGTCCTCTGTGAAAAATAAGGTAAGATAAAAAGAGAGCTCAAGATTTCATAGTTCTTAAGGCACCTATTTCAGCTTACTTTTTTATTAGTTTACGTTAATATTTAGAACAGAGATGCCTGATCTCTTATAGGCCTTTTGCTTTCTAGAATCTAACACTAATGCTACGTACCATCACCTGTGTAATACGTAATTTGTAAGTTAGAGCATCCATTCAGTGGACACTGAATGCATCTCTTAAAATATCCTGGCTTTCTGCTTTGTATTTGTTATTTGTGAACATGTTCCCACTAGATGATAAGCTCTTTGAGGGCAGGGATCATATCTTGTTTATCTTCATTTGGGCATTAGAGGCATCCAATAAATGTTTACCAAATGACATTAAGAATCATAGTATTGCAGTCTCTGATTTCAATCTACATTAATTTTTCCTTCTGGAGGCAATTTAAAGATATTATCTGCCTCCCAAATGTCACCTTCAACATGCTTGCCTCCTTAGGTATAGCATGCACACATGTGCACACACACACACACCCCTTCATGTCCCCTTTTGCCCTACCCATGCATGTTCTGTAGGACTGGCATGTTTTCTTTTTTTGTCCCTTTGGTTGTCCTCTGAGCAGAGGGATCGCAGAGGTTGCTGACCTGAATAGGATGAGCTCTGCCCCACTAAAGGCTCCAATCAGGCTAGATTTTCCTTCCCCTTCAAGAAGTGAGCTGAATACAAAATTGAGTGGAATTTCACATTCCGTATTAGAGCACACACTAATTAGAGTACGCTCCTGGCTTGGCAATGCCATACTCAATTACAAAGGGAGCAACTACTAAGATGATGAATGCACCAAGTTAATTTGCCTCCACTACTAATTGCATCTGCTCTATTTTTAGAGCCACTGTCACCTACTAATACACCAGAATATGGTGTAATGAGCACCAGCAGGAAGTCAGGAGATTTGGGGGCCTCAGTCATGTTATCTTATGAAAACTTCTTGAGGCTTTAAAGATTTGTTTTTGTGGATGAAGAATCAAGTAAACGGAAGCTGGTATAGGGAGAGGCAGACAATCCACCCAAATTACTTTCTTTTCTTTATTTTTTTCTTGAGACATGGTCTGGCTCTTTTGTCTAGGCTAGAGGGCAGTGGTGCCATCTTTGCTCACTGCAGCCTCCACCTCCCGGGTTCAAGTGATTCTCCTGCCTCAGCCTCCTGAGTAACTGGGATTATAGGCACTTGCCACCACACCCAGCTAATTTTTGTATTTTTAGTAGAGACAGGGTTTTACCATGTTGGCCAGGCTGGTCTTGAACTCCTAACCTCAGGTGATCCATCTGCCTCAGCCTCCCAAACTGAAAACTTGACCTTTTTAGGCCATCAGTGGGCAAATGCAAGCCAGGAGAAATTTCAGTTTCCATAGGCAAAGGCAAAGCCAGGTATAAGAGGGTTAAGAAATTATCTTAAAGTTAATTGCCTCATCCTAGCTTGCCCAGAATTATTCTTGATTTGAAATGACTACTGTAAGTTGATGACTTTAAAATTTACACTAAAAAATGGTCCAGGGCTAGGGTGATGGTTCACGCCTGTAATCCTAGCACTTTGGGAGGCCAAGGAGTGTGGATTGCCTGAGCTTAGGAGTTCGAGACCAGCCTGGACAGCATGGTAAAACCCTGTCTCTACTAAAATACACAAAAAAATTATCTGGTCATGGCGGCATGCAACTGTAATCCCAGCTATTCTGGAGGCTGAAACAGGAGAATTGCTTGAATCCAGGAGGTGGAGGTTGCAGTGAGCTGAGATTGTGCCATTGTACTCCAGCCTGAGCAACAGAGCATGACTCCATCTCAAAAGAAAGAAGGAAGGAAGAAAGGAAGGAAGGAAGGAAGGAAGGAAGGAAGGAGGGAGGGAGGGAGGGAGGGAGGGAGGGAGGGAGGGAGGGAGGGAGGGAGGGAGGGAAGGAAGGAAGGAAGGAAGGAAGGAAGGAAGGAAGGAAGGAAGGATCCAGAAAGAAACTAATATTCTATTTCCATTTCTGTCCCCTACTCTACTCCGCAGATTGAACGGTTTTTCAGGAAGATATATCAATTTCTATTTCCTTTTCAAGAAGATAATGAAAAAGATCTTCCCATCAGTGAAAAGCTCATTGAGGAAGATGCACAACTGATGCAAATGGAGGATGTGTTCAGCCAGTTGACTGTGAATGTGAATTCTCTCTTTAATAGGAGTTTTAACGTCTTCAAACAGATGCAGCAAGAATTTGACCAGACTTTTCAATCACATTTCATATCAGATACAGAGCTAACTGAGCCTTACTTTTTTCCGGCTTTACCTAAAGAGACAATGACAAAAGCAGATCTTGAGCAACCTTGGGACATTCACAACTTCTTCCAGCTGTTTTGTAATTTCAGTCTTTCTGTTTATGAAAGTGTCAGTGAAACAATTACTGAGACACTGAAGGCAATAGATTTACCAAAACAAGACAAAGGCAAGTATTAAAAGATTACTTTTACTTAGATGTCTACACTAAAGTCAAGTTTTGTTAAGCTTCAGAAACGATAGACATTTCTGAGTCACATTGTATAACATTTCTTGAAGTGACAATATGGAAAAAGTTTCAGAGCCTCTTAAAAGAAGCTTTGAAGTCTGTTACACACCATCCCTCTTCCATCATTATTGAGAACTCAACTCCTTCTAGAGCAAATTTTCAAAGCAGAACGAAAAAAATACTAATAGGTTGAGAACTTTAAAAAAAAGTTCCTTCATTTAATACTTATTTATTTTTATTTATGTATTTATTTTGAGAAAGAGTCTCACTCTGCCGACCAGGCTGGAGTGCAGTGGGGTGATCCTGGGTTCAAGCGATTCTCCTGCCTCAGCCTCCTGAGTAGCTGGGACTACAGGTTTGAACTTCTGACCTCAGGTGACCTCCCCGCCTTGGCCTCCCAAAGTGCTGGGATTGCAGGTGTGAACCACCATGCCTGGCCATTTCCCTCATTTATGAAAGCTCATGTGGATACTCAGCTCTATTCTGCTAAAGCATCAGGGAGTTTTTTTTTTTTTTTTTTTTTTGAGACGGAGTTTCGCTCTTGCTACCCAGGCTGGAGTGCAATGGCGCGATCTCGGCTCACCGCAATCTCCGCCTCCTGGGTTCAGGCAATTCTCCTGCCTCAGCCTCCCGAGCAGCTGGGATTACAGGCACGCACCACCGTGCCCAGCTAAGTTTTTGTAATTTTAGTAGAGACGGGGTTTCACCATGTTGACCAAGATGGTATCGATCTGTTGACCTCGTGATCCACCCGTCTCGGCCTCCCAAAGTGCTGGGATTACAGGCTTGAGCCACCGCGCCCGGCCGCATCAGGGAGTTTTTAAAAAATTGATCTGAAATCCTCAACTCCCAGTTTGAGGAGAAGCTCACTCTCACATATAACCAGAGCAATTTAGTCCCCTCCTCTGAATCACTACAATCATTACTTAAATTATAAAGTGTATGCATAAAACCACAGAAAATGCTCATAAACCTCAAACTACAGAATTATTAGATAAGAATTGCCTTCCACCAATACTAATCATGTCTCATGGCACTCCATTTTGGAGACACAATGCTGCTTTATGTTTTAAGCCAGGAGATATCTTCTGTGGGCTTCTATGGAGGAAATTAGACACCGTGTTTGAGAAATGAGAATTGCCACAAGGGTCAAGTGTAGGATCTGCATCTCCTTTGTTATTGTATTGATCACTAAGCCAAGTTGAAGGCTGCTCCCCTCTGAGATGAAAACTAGAGTGGGCTCCTTTTATCTATTTCTCTTTTTTCTTTTTCTTTTTTTAGGGGGTGGGTAGGATGAAATCTTGCTCTATTGCCCAGGCTGGAGTTCACTGGCACGGTCTTGGCTCACTGCAACCTCCGCCTCGTGGGTTCAATGAATTCTCCTGCCTCAGTCTCCCAAGTAGCTGGGATTACAGGTGTGTGCCACCATGCCTGGCTAATTTTTGTATTTTTAGTAGAGATGGGGTTTCACCATGTTGGCCAGGCTGGTCTCAAACTCCTGACCTCAGATGATCTGCTCACCTCAGCCTCCCAAAGTGCTGGGATTCCAGGTGTGAGCCATCGTGCCCAGCCTCAAATGACTTTAAATAGAGAGGGGCGGGGGGTATTCTGGATTATCCAGCTGGATTCAATGTAATCACAGGGTCCTTAAAAGTGGAAGAAGGAGGCAGAAAAGAATGAATAGCAATGGCTGCAAGAGAGGAATGTGGCCCTACTTTGATGACCTTGAAGACGGAGCAAGGCAGGCTTGAGCTGAGGAATATAAGTGGCCTCGAGGAACTGGAAATGGTAGAGAAATGAATTCTCCTCTAGAGCCTCCACAAAAAACTAGCCCTGCTGACATCTTGATTTTAGCCCAGTAAGACCCACTTCAGACTTCTGACCTAAAAGACCATCCAATAATAAGTGTGTGCTCTTTCAAGCCACTGAATCTGTGGTGGTCTGTAACAGAGCTAATAATAATAGTAACTGACCAATATTTACCGAGCAAGTTCTGGGTGGCAACCTTCATGGATGGGCCTTATTGGTCATAATTGTTTAAGGGGCTAAAATTAGAAAAATAGCTAAAACTGAATTCTGAACAACATTCAAAGGACAGCAGAAATTTGAAAATCAGAAATATCTTTTTAGTATAGTTTCATTTTGGTCTCATATTTCTTTCCTACCTTGGTCTTTCTGGACCTCGGTTCCTGAATCTGTTGAAAGAGAATAAAGTAGCTCTTGGAATTGTCTTGACTTGTCTTATGAATCTCTGGAAAGAACAGATGAGATCATGTTCTACTGTAGCTTGACCAGTGCTGGGGGCCAGGAGATCTGGTTCTAATCCTGCCTTAAAGAGTATCAGTTGACATTAATTTTCCCATGGAGGAAACAAACAGGCAGGAAGAAAGGTAGATGATTTATCTTAGCAACAGTCGGAAGTAGCTTCCTGGAAAGGTTCCTAGGTTCTGTCAAGGCTTGACTAAGTAAGGTGATGAATTATGCTGTGGGTGCAGGATTGAAAATCAGTGTCACGTGGGCCTGGAATTTGTCATCCTTTGTGTACCTTCCAGGTATTAATATAGATGCTAGAGATAAAATGATGATTATGACACAGCCCCTGACTTCCAGAAGCTCAGTCCAGAGAAAGGAAAACAGATTAGTGGAGAATTACATCACTATATCGTGGGTGAGATGGCAGAAGAAGGTACAGAAGAATGACAAGATTAAAATGGCAAGACCAAATCCCTTCCCTCAAGAGGTTTAGTGTATAACGGAAAAGAAAGAAAGCAAACACTGCATAAAGCAGGAATAAATTCAGAGTGGAACTCCTCACAGGGGGTTATGTGGGGTAAAGAAGAAGGTTCCAGAAAGCAGCTGGGAGAAATTGACTTTCTAGTCACCAAAGGGAATGGGTGCCTGGCACACCATTCTGTCAAACAACACTTTGCTGTTTTTAAACTAGGGACTTTGCAATTTATCTCAAAATAAAATGTTTCATTTTTAAATCTGAGGATTTAATCTAACAGAAAATCATCAGGTTGTAAATTAGTAATACGTGTTTCCTAATGTGAACATTCTATTGAGAACTGCCAATTTTCTGTTGGATAGACTTCTCTTTAACATCAACAATTTTATATGGATTGTTAATTCTCCCTAGGGGAAAAACTTCTCAAAACTTGATCTTTAAGTATTTTCCCAAATCTTTGACCCACTGTTCATAACAATAAATACATCTGCATACTCGCACACTCACACACATATGTGTATATTTGAGAAATGCAAAAAAGAATAGTAATAAAATAGATACCTACCATCCACGTTAAGAAACAGACATTTCTAATACCTCTGAAACTTCTTCCCAATTATAGCTTAAAAAATTAAAATAATTATTAGAGGATTTTTTAAATAGAGAAAAGCCCGAAGAAAAAAATGGTTCACAATCACCTCTTTACTTAATCCTATTGGTATCAGAAATCCTAACGATACAAATGAGACACACTAACCTCAAAATAATTCAAATAAATAAAAGAACAAAATAAATGAAAGCTGCCCTCTCCTACCTCATTAAGTCCTGCTCCTAAAAGATAGTTATTCATAATTCTTCATGATCCCCCCTAGAAAATATAATTACATGCATTAATATATGTGTGTAAATAATAATAATAAATTTCTAGTAATAAGATTCTTGGATTCAAGAGTATGTGCAATTTTTAATAGATGTCCAGTTGTCCTAGGAAATGATTGCACCAACATGCATTCCAGTGTCTAAATATAGAAAAAAGGGTTGGACGCAGTGGCTCATGCCTGTAACCTCAGCATTTTGAGAGGCTGAGGCAGGTAGGTCATTGAGGTCAGAAGTTCAAGACCAGCCTGGCCAACATGGTGCAACACAGTCTCTACTACAAGTACAAAAATTAGCTGGGTGTGGTGGTGCATGCCTGTAATCCCAGCTACTTGGGAGGCTGAGGTAGGAGAATCACTTGAACCCTGGAAGCAGAGGTTGCAGGGAGCCAAGATGGCACCACTGCACTCCAGACTGGGCAACAGAGCAAGACTCCACCTGAAAAATAAACAAATAAAGAAATAAATAAATAAGATTTGAAAGCACTGGTAAGAAAAATCAGTGACATTGTCTCCAGTTCTTTAAAGTGCAAACTCTTACAACACTAATGTGTAAATGTTGTGTTCCGTGTAGCCCCTGACAACGGAGGCCTGATTTCAAAGATGGTACCTGGGCAGGACAGAGGACTGTGTGGGGAACTTGGCCAGAATTTGTCCGGATGTTTCAAATTTCATGAAAAATGCCAAAAATGTCAGGCTCACCTGTCTGAAGGTAAATAATTGCTTTTTTTTTTTTTTTTTTTTAAGGGTTTCTTTACTATTCTGGACAGAGGACAAAATCTCACTCTAACAAGCATTGTGGATTCATTTGCTGTCCTCTAACCAATCCAAGCAGTTTTTGGAGGCTCATTTCTGTCTGGGAGGGCTCAATGTCATTCTTTCACTTTCTTTAATTCCCTAATTGTTCTTGTGAATTTTTTTAATGATTAAAGACCAAACACTAATGTGTGCAAAAGAAAAACATTGAGCAAATTAGGTCAACTCCCTCCTTCTTACAGCAAAGAAAAAGAACCCTCCCATCCCCACCCCTCACCCCCCACCCCTCCCACTCCTCCCACCAGGAAAGAAACCTTCTCATTCCTTAAATCAATGTTTAGATAAGTAAATGGTTTTTGAAAGTTGCATTGGCTCTTTCCCATTGGTGGGTTAATTAACTAATTAGCATTTAAATAGGGAAAGTGACTCCTCCTCCGAAGCCCCAGGAGGCCTTTTCCCTCCCAGGGTGGCCTTTCCAGTTCCTTCCCCAGGAAGGAAGTCATTCTCCCTTTCCTCCATCCCTCCCCTCATTCCCTTTTCCTTCTGACTAAAGTCACTCCTCCCGCCCCACCAGGGCCAAATTACAAATTTTCTTATATAAAACAAGAGTTTTTGATTCCTATGCTTCTGCATTTTATCTCACTAAAGTCCTAGGGAAGGAAATTTTAAAAGTGTGGCTAATGGCTTAGAGTAGGAAATTGGAAGATAGAGGAAGGACAGAAATCAACACGTCGGTAAATTCTACCACACTAGCTTGAGATTTTGGGCAACTCATTTATGCTGTCTAGGCCTCAGTTGAATAATTTGTATATAAAGGACCCAAGATAACCTTTGGGTTCTAATAAAATTCTTCCATAAAGCAGTGGTCCCAACCTTTTAGCACCAGACTAGTTTCGTGGAAGACAATTTTTCCGAAGATGGTGGGGCAGGGGCCATGATTTGTGGAGGATCATCAGGCATTAGATTCTCCCAAGGAGCGCTCTGCCTAGATCCCTCGCGTGTACAGTTCATAACAGTGTTAGTTCTCCGGTGAGAATCTATTGCCTGATCTGGCAGGAGGCGGGGCTCAGGCAGTAAGGCTTGCTCGCCAGCCGCTCACCTCTAGCTCTACCGCCCAGTTCCTAACCCGCCGCAAGCTGGTCCGGGTCCGGGTCCGTGGCCCAGGGGTTGGGGACTCCTGCTCTAAAGGAAGTTCAGAAAAAATTAGGTTATAGTTCGTTTGCTACCAAGTAGTAGCTCTCGTGCCCTTAACTTCCCGCGGTGAAGACCACCGTAATAATTTATATCAACAGAAAGAACAAAAAGTATAGTCAGTGGAAACTCCCGTCCCTCCCTTTGCGTTCTCGCCTCAATCTAACAATGAGCAACTTGCAACAAATTTCACTGTTCAGAGGAATGGGAGAATAAAATTGTTACAATCTTTATATGTATACTTTAAGTCCCGAGGTACACGTGCAGAATGTGCAGGTGTGTTAGGTATACACGTGCCATGGTGTTTTTGTTTGTCTGTTCTTCGGTTTTTTTGAGATGGAGTCTCGCCCTGTCGCCCAGGCTGGAGTGCACTGGCCTGATCTCTACTCACTGCAACCTCCGCCTCCTGGGTTTGAGTGATTCTCCTGCCTCAACCTGAGTAGCTAGGATTCTCCGGAATAGCTGAGATTACAGGCATGCACCATCCCGCGGAGCCAACAAATTGTTACAATCTTAAATAGCATAATATCTTAAACATATTGGCTTTTAATGTATCATTAGACACACCACAATACTAATAAATGTTACCTTTGGGTTTTAAGCTTAAAGATGATGTTTTAAAATACTTCTTTCTGTATTTTCCAAACTTTTAACTATAAACATAAGATATTCCTTGACTTAGTATAGGGTTATGTCACAATCAACCCATTATAAATTCAAAAATTCATAAGTTGAATCATTGTAAGTTGGGGACCATATGTACAGGTATGCATATATGATATTAAAAATTATTAGACACCCTTAAAACTTATTTGACTTTTTAACATATTACTTTTATTTAATCACCTTGCTCAAGAAGCCTGTGCATTACATATTAATATTCTCTGTTAGGAAACAGGTCTTTCCATTGTGCAAATTAATGCATTGTAGAGGTTCTAAACATCTACATGCTTTGCAACTCAAAAGGAGTAAATTTCCCGTTCTATTTTTTTATTCAATTAAACCAAAAAAACCATGAATTTAATAGTCTATTAAATTAGATCATTGAGTGATTATTAAATCTTTTTAGAGTCAACAGCGCTACCATTCTCTCTCTCTCTCTCTCTCTTTTTTTTTTTTTTTTAAGTAGGAGTCTCGCTTTGTCACCCAGGCTGGACTGCAATGGTGTGATCTCGGCTCACTTCAACCTCCATTTCCCAGGTTCAGGTGATTCTCCTGCCTCAGCCTCCCCAGTAGCTGGGATTGCAGGCACCTGCCACCATGCCCAGCTAATTTGTTGTATTTTTAGTAGAGACGGGGTTTCACCATGTTGGTCAGACTAGTGGCGAACTCCTGACCTCAAGTGATCTACCTGCCTCGGCCTCTCAAAGTGTTGGGATTACAGGCGTGAGCCACCATGCCCAGACCCTTTCTCCTTTTTAAATGTCACCAGCCTGGGTTCTTATTTCCACTGAATTTTCAGGTTAGTTGGACTAGTGAGGGTGTCAGTTTACATGGGCCACAGAACAAGAACAAGGATTGTTCTTTCTCACCCTCTTCCACTTTATTCTCTCTCAACCTCTCCCCACCTCAATAGTTGGTCTTTTCTCCCCCTTCTTTTGAAAGCAGGGTAATACAAATGGACCTATCTACTTCTCCACATCGCTCTTGGGCCAAATTTTCTGCAATGGACACATCTACTCCACCTTAGAATGTATATTAGAAAATTTTGACATCTAGAATCTCTTATGACAGTAAAGGGTTTGGAAAGCATTGCTCCAAGTAGCTTTGATTATAAACTGGACCTTTTTGCTGAGTTACCTAGAGCAGTTAAGAGTGCCGTCTCTGCTGGCCAGGTGCGGTGGCTCCTGCCTGTAATCCCAGCACTTTGGAAGGCCAAGGCAGGTGGATCACCTGAGGTCAGGAGTTCAAGACCAGCTTGGCCAACATGGCGAAACCCCGTTCTACTAAAAATACAAAAATTAGCTAAGCCTGATGGCATGAACCTATAATCCCAGCTACTCAGGAGGCTGAGCCAAAAGAATTGCCTGCACCTGGGAGGCGGAGGTTGCAGTGAGCCAAGATCAAGCCACTGCACTCCAGCCTGGGCCACAGAGCTAGACTCTCTTTCAAAAATAATAATAAATACATAAATAAAATTTTAAAAAGTATTTAAAAAGAGTGCTCTCTATCCTGAATTGCTGACTTGAGGACTCTCTCAGCCTGTTTCATCATTTGGAAGATGGGAATAATATATCTGCTTCATACACATCTTTTGAAGATTAAATAAAACATCTCAAGTATCAATGATTCTCATTATTCAAGTATTCATTTTTTAAGTCACAGTTACAAGATTATATACAGAAACAGGTTTTATAACAGAAAAATATACACTTGATATACTGAACTGTTACAAAATAGTTTCTCGCAAACATCCCATATATGTATCATTAACATCTATTTCCATCTATCTAGCTAAAAGATTTGATTAATAATCCCTGAATGTCACAAGATAATACAGAGTAAATCAGATAATATATTAAAATGCACCTGATAATCAATATACACCAGAGAGTGGATACAGTATACATCAGATAACACAGTACAAATGCAATGAAAGTTTAGTGTTGCAAAGGTAAAATGTAAAGAATGTCCTAATGTGCTCCCATGCTGCTTAAAACTATTATTATAAAATGCATTTTATTATAAATATATAAAGAATGATGTAATAGGCCGAGCATGGTGGCTCACACCTGTAATTCCAGGTCTTTGGGAGGCCAGGGCAGGAGAACCACTTGAGATTAGGAGTTTGAGACCAGCCTGGCCAACACATGAAACCTTGTCTCTACTAAAAACATAAAAATTAGCCAGATGTGGTGGTGCACACCTATAATCCCAGCTACTCTGGAGGCTGAGGCAGGAGAATTGATTGAACCCAGGAGGCAGAGGTTGCAGTGAGTTGAGATCAAGCCTCTGTACTCCAGCCTAAGTGACAGAACAAGACTCCATCTTTATTTAAAAAAAAAAAAAAAAGGTGCCTACCACCTAGATTGAGAAACAGAACATTACCAAAATAGACAAATTCCCAGTGTCTCCCTCCACATCACATTCACTTCATCTCCTCAAAAGGAAACTGCTATTTTGAATTTGGTATTAATTATTTCCTTGCATTTCTTCTAACTCATATCATGTGCTTATATATACAAAATATATAAACATGAATACATCATACATAGCAATGTTTAGCATTTTAATCTTTGTATTGTCAATATAGAATTTTTAAACTTAAAAATAAGCTTCATACAAACATGAAATGGGCACATGACTGGCTGGGTATGGTGGCTCATGCCAGTAATCCCAGCACTTTGGGAGGCCAAGGCAGGCGATCACTTAAGGTCAGGAATTTGAGACCAGCCTGGGCAACATGGTGAAACCCTGTCTCTACTAAAAATACAAAAATTAGCCAGGCATGGTGGTGCACACCTGTAGTCCCAGCTACTCAAGAGGCTGAAGTACAAGAATCACTTGATCCCAGGAAGCAGAGGTTGCAGTGAGCCAAAATTGTGCCACTGCACTCCAGCCTGGGCGACAGAGTGAGACTCTGTCTCAAAGATAAATAAATAAATGAGAAAGAAAGAAAAGAAGAAAAGAAATGGGCACATGTCAAATGTTAATTTGACTATTTAACATATTGATGAAGGAAGCAGCAGGGTGTTAGAACTGGATCAAAGGAGTATAATTCGGACTGGAATGCTTACAGTCGAGGAGAGACAGATTATGAAATTA